CCCCCAAAACCCCAAAACCCCATGCTGCTTGAGTAAACTAAAATCAGATAAACTTACTAACAACTGTTTAAAGCAATAAAAAATTAGATAAAATTATCTTAAAAATTAGAATTTAGTTTAGAAATGAATGAAGCCAAAATATTTCTTCACTTCGCAGTAAGTAAATTATCACCATTAAGGAATTCCCTTATCTATATTCTACCTACTATAGCTTTCAGAAAAAAATGAGGATGAAAGACTTTAGAAGGTAATCAAAGCCTGCAAAATCATAGCAGATATAATGCCGAATGACTCAATCAATGAATCTGTAAAAGCCAGTATTCCAGAGATTCTCCCAAAACTTATCAAAATGCTGCCATATCTCACTACTTCTGTAAGCGATAGAAAATATTCAAACCTAATATCAATCTATTGTTAACCTAATCTTATTTAGATAGATATGCTTCTGAAGGCATTTATAGAGAGATTTGCCATTGATACAGAATCGATATCGCAGTTTTATAAGATATTCATTGAAGAGTTTCAAAGTGCGGCCCACAACGTGATCAAAGATAAGTGCATTGACTATATGTTTAAGATCCTTCGGAGACTGGACAAGCCTCTTTTGATTTCGATCTAAAACTCTCTTGAAACTGTGCTCAAGTCCAACTACTTTATTCAGGATAATAACAGAGATAAAGCCATAGAAATAGCTGAATATCTCATGGAATGTCTAGATGATGATGAGATAAATCCCTATATATACCAAGAATTTTTGGGTTATAACAATACAGTTGATAATGTTTTGTCAGGCAATGCTATGGTTGATAAGAAAAAGACTATAAGGGCTAATAGCATTATTTCTGAGTCAGGATTTGGAGATAGCTTTATATCAGAATTTTAAAATGAAGCAGCAGATATGAATTTGAATTTCGATGACTTTAAAAGTGCTCTCAAGACTGAAAGTAAAATTGATAGAATAGAAGCGTTTATGAACTCTGAAGATATATTCATTAGTACAAACAAAAATATCAGGGGCTTTTTAAACAAGAAAGACAATCTCGAAGTCTTCGTGAGTTTAATCTCCAGACCTCATGAAGTTGAGTCAAGAATATGGTGGAAGCCATCTCAACGTATAAGCCTAGATTCAAGAGAGATTTTTGATGACTATAGAGAATTCAACCTCAGAAATTAGAATAACTACTATCTTTACGATCACAAATCCCTAAACAAAATTGACTATATAAACAAAAACTCTGAGCTCAAGAATATTTACAGATCATTTAATGCCCTTCAAATATTCTTAGCCAAAGATAACCTCGAGATTATATTGGACAGATTTGAGGGCTCATTAGAAAAGATTATTTTGTCATTGAAAGATGCTTTTGATCCTAAGAGTAATGCTAACATTGAGCATTGTTTGATTCTAATGAGAGCTTTGATAAGCGAGAGACCTGATGAGAGCTTGGAGTTATTAATTCAGACTAAGAAAATTATTCTTCTAATGCTGTAAATGATTGAAAATAGATTTGTTTATTCGTTTTTCAACTAGCTATTGTTAAGACCACAAACTTTGATGATAGACTTAGAAATTTACAATGAATTTGTATTGCGAGAACTTATGGAGTGCAAATTTTTTGAAATTTTGATTGAACTGACTACACTTTCCAATGCAAAATTAGAAACAACTATCTTTGAATTCATACTGGACAAAGAGAAAAAACTTCAACAAGAGAAAGAGAAATTAGAAAAAGAAAAGTAGCATGAAGAGGAAGAAGCTATGATGAAATCCTAATCTATGATGAGGGATAGTTCAGTACAAATGTAACAGCAAACTCCTACCTTTTTTATGTTCAGTCAAATACTCTAATAACCAGGATCTAAAGATGCTAAGAATAAATAAGACTCATAGAAAGAAGACATGTCTTCGACTTAAAATGAGATAACAAAAGATATGAACAAAGACTCATAGTAGCAGCCTAAAATACCGTTTACTACTGCAGTTAAAGCATTTTAGATACTATCAGATCTGCTAAGAGAGCATATTGAGGTCATTGATGATAGAAACTGTTTCGATTTCCATAAGTACTAAAGTGAAGAATTGGTATCTCATTTATTTGGGAGAGAGATGAGTCCAACTTTACTCTAGAGTATGTTTACTATGTGCATGAAGATTTTCTGCCTGACTGATGGGCATACTAAAACTTATAACTGGTTTATTAATGAGCAGACCAAGAAAGTATCTAAGAACTCATCATCCATGCGAACTTCTTCTGCAAATGTAGGAGGGCCTTAAACACTTTGGGGTGTAAGTAAGGTTGAGGTAGCTGACTATGGCTCAGACATTACAGAGCTACTGATAAATATACTTAAAACATACCAAAAATCTGATAGCCTTAGGTACCTGGTCAAAGGAGAGCTGCTTAAATTGATTAAATTAAATTTCGTCGAGTTTTAAAAGTATCTGCTTGTAGCTTTTAAGGAGCAGCCTAATCCCAAAATACTCCCTAAAATAGCTCCAATGAAATACCAGACCTACGATATTATGAATCCTTTCAGCAGAAGAAAGATTTAAATGATAGAGTTCCTACTCTAGGTAGTTAACTTTGATTCAACCTTTCTACTATACCTCTCAAAAGATGCGTGGTCTCAGATAGTTGACCACGTCTTTCAACACGAGTACTGTCCAGTATATCATTAGACATTTTTCAAGTTACTCTTGAAAGTAATGGAACTGAGAGATGAAAATCTACTAGTTACAGTAATAGTATGTCAGAATGCTCTGTCTAAAATTCATTAGCTTTATGAGGAATAATATAGAGCTATTGAGTATAAAATGGATTTTAAGAAGCAGGACTTGATGACTATAGTTTGTCTCTGGGTTGAATTAGTAGACATGCACTTTGACAAAAATGATAACTTCCCTGGATTTTCAAGTCAACTGGACAGTTCATACTCTTGGAAGAGAATCAAAGCTCTCAAGTAGACTGTGAAGATTCATGACTTTGTGGGAATATTAGAGAAGTTTTATCAGTTTCCGTATCTTACTCAAACAGCCATGAGGGGTATGCCTAAGTTTGATCATTAAGATTCAGCAGGTACATTATTCGCAGATGATGCGCATAGTAATGCTTCAATGGATGGGACTACTAAGTTTCATAAAAGCAGAGTTGCAAATGTTAATGGGGAATTTGTGAATACGATGAAATCAAATGGAGTGCTAAGTCCTAGAAGTGGTAGAAATGCAAATGGAGGTCAAGGCTTAAATAAAAAGACTAGTTTTGGAGGTGCAATAATCATGGAGAACCCATTCCAACAAAAATCTTAAGTCCCATCTAAGAATGAAGTATAAACCCCTTAAAGCAGATAAGGAATTATTACTAGTGGTTCAAGCAGAAAGCTAGAGACAAAGTAAAACTCTGGTCAGCAAATTGGTGTTTCTTTTAAGCCTAATTAGCCTTCTTCTACCAATGGTAGCAAAGCTACTCTTCCTATGATAAGCACTGCAAATTCAAAAAAGAAGACCAAGTGATTTAATACAGAGATAATTACTAATTTACTATGAAAGTAAAACTAGCATAAATAGCTATTAACCTATTTTTGAGCAGTATAAGATTTATTTCATTAAAATTTTGTTATTTCAAAAGATTGGCAATTTATAAGTTAATTTAGTAACTTGGTCTAATCTCAAATGATTCATTATAGTTT